CATGAGGAGGATATGTTAAGAACCCTTCCTATCAGCTGGGCTTTAATAATTTAAAAAGCAGTAACAGAATGGTAGTTGCCGACATCTCTGCTGTCTAGCAGATTAAAGAGATTTTATTTAAATGCCATCCAAGATGACGAAGTTTCCAGCAGAGCGGAGGTACATGAGGGATTTTGCAGCAGAATTATACTGTTGCGGGTGTTTATTTTTTGCAGTATTTTCTTGCCACTTTCGTCAGCCTCATGGAACTGAGACCCGGAGTTGAAGGGATGTGAGACGCAGCAATAACCCACTTTATCCTGACAGCAGACCCAGATGCAGTTGGGAGGTCTTGAGGCACATCTGCTTTATTTATTTATTTTATTAATGACAGATCCCAGACAATTAACAACTGTTTCCTTTTAATTTTTAGACTCAAGAATCTTTAAACCCAAACAACTTAGAATACTGGATGGAAGACATTTATACTCCTGGCTATGATTCCTTATTAAAACGCAAAGAAGCCGAGTTCAGAAGAGCAAAGGTTTGCAAGATAGCTGCCCTGATAGCAGCAGCAGCTTGTACGGTTATTCTGGTCATTGTAGTTCCCATTTGTACAATGAAATCCTGAACCTGCGGACAGACCTGTGGCTCCCAGCTGTGTGTATCTCAGAGAGCTCATGCTGTGTTTCAAACGTCTGATGGCAAAACTGTGAGGAATTCGTTAAGGAAGAATGTTCTGAGGACATCCTGATGGAGAATGCTGTAAACGTAGGCAAAACACAAAACAACTAGAGAAACTTTTTTTTTTTTTTTAAAGTTTTATTTTAAATAACAGATTGTATGGCAGAGTTAATGGGAACTCGGTTCAATTTTTATGCATTTTTAAAAGTGCAATATTTTTTTTCCTAAAGAAACAATATAATGTTTTACAGAATCAGAGACTGTTGAGAATCCAGGCGAAAGAGGAAGGTTTTCTGAGCTATGTTGCATTAACAGAGGTATGGGTACATGGAGGTAGCACTGTATAGAAGGGAATGTTCTACATGCATTGTATCGGGGAGCTAGGAAAGTTCCGAGGCTCTCTACAGTGTAGAAAACTCTGAATGTATTGTATTTATTTAATAGTATTTATGTATTTCATGATCATTTGATTGAAAGCAGACTGTGTAGCCATGAACAAAGTTCATTCTTATGTTCAGATTAAAAAGGGCTCTTTGTATTTGGTCTTGCCCTAAGACCCACTCTATCATCACTGAGTACTTAGATAAGTGCAATGTGCTGCAGACCAAAAAGATTATGTTTTAAAGCAATGACAAGAGGTTTTAGTTACTTCTGTTGAATAACATTTGAATAGAGCTGGCAAACTTGCCTTGCCAAAAGGGTATTCTTTACCTCCACAGACAGTGAAATTGTCTCAATTTCGCTCCTGCCAGCAAGCAAAGCTGGCACATGAAAGCATTGCTCCGTTAGAATTCTTGGAAATGTAATCTGAACAGTTATAATTTTTTTTTTTTTTTCACAAAGTCTTTGTGCCTTTTTTAGACTGTAGATTAAATAGAATGGTTTAATTTTGCTATTTTAAGCCCATAACATAAATCACAGCATAATGGGTACTAATGGAGGTTCTTTTCCTGCAAGCCTTCTATACAGTTGAGAGTGCTCCTCAAACAGCAGGGCTGGTGGTTACTGAGCGCTTATATTAAGGGCACAGTTTTTCAGCACCAGTGGAAACTTGCTGTTAATGCAGTGCATTCAGCACGGGGAGATTTTTTGCTTCCCTCTTGCTAATGTACTTAAGAATGATGATTGACTCTGCTGGACAGCAAGCAGTCTGTATCCCATGGGAAATGTCCATTTGATGTTTTATCCCAAATGCAAATAGCAGGTTCAAAGGAATTCTCAAGCTATGACAGAAATTACCTGCCATGGTTAGTGAAAGCAAATACCAAGACAGTATTACTCTTCTGTCAAGTATAGATGAAAAAAAAAAAAAGAGTAAAAAAAAAATATTTCGGGAAATAATGTGATAGCGCTGGTCCTCTAAGGGAAAGGAGATTCTTTTAGTGAATGCTCTTTATGTAGGGTAATTTGGTTTCTTTAGAAGCAGCCTCCTCCCTACACGATGACACAGCAGCTAGGGAAGCATCGGATGCTCATTCCTCCGGCTCTCTGGGATGTGCCGCACTCACTGTTTGTTTCTGGCTGGTTTAAAAAAAGTAGCGAGGAAAGGGTGTGTGGGAGGCAAAGGCTTTGTTGTGACTTTAGATGTGTGTCAGTTCTTCCCTGCATCTGGAGAGCTGTTTATGCGCTGCTCATGCGCTGTATTTTATTTAGGGATAGGTGATCCCTGGGACCAGACCATTGATCTATTGGGAAAACTAGTGTAAGCACAGGGTCAGGTGTCCCATCAGCAAATACAGAACGAGTATAAACCCCTAAACCACAACCTGCACCTTCCTGGCCTGAATCCTGACCCGAATTCTGTAGCTTTGGCCCATTCCTAATACAAAGATTCTTTCTCTTTCCTCCCAGATGCTGCAGGATGGAGTCACAGCAGGGAGGGAGCAATTCACACTGTCTATTTTGGGCTGCCTTCGGTTATGGTATGATTCAGAGCACCTGAGTTTAGGAGCTCAGGATCCATACGTAGTAAATATAGACAGGTAGAGAAACCTCTGGGGACAATTTAGAGCTGCCAGCAAGATATCTAATATTAGACATGTGAATGTGCTCCGGAGGACATTGCTCTGCAGTTTACCTTATGCACAATTTAGGTTGATTGTATATGTAAAAAAAATCCATTCCTGGTTGCAGGTAATGTCAGAAAGCCCTTTCACAACCCTCCCTGGCCTGGCAATAGCAAGCACGAGGCAGCGTTGGAAAGAGCAGAGTGGCACTGTGGTGGCAGTGTCAGTCCCCCGTCTGCCTGCACCAGCAGGTACAAGTCCCTCTGTGGGGCAGGATGGGTGTGGGACAGACAGCGGGCAGACCCCCCCGCCTTCACCAATCCTCCCCTCTGCTAGCACGAGCAGACTGACCCCGCTGCCCCCCAACCTGAAATCAGCAGTGCTTCCTCTGTTGCGTCTCAGTAATCTGATTTTAGAAAATATCTGAATTTCTAAGTGGAGATGTGAGAAGGGTGCAGGAGATGTAATTGATTACAGGGGCGGGCTGGGGCTGTGCTTGCACGGATGCATTAGAGGAGATGTAAGGGCTGCTGCTTTGTCTGTGCAGGGATTTTTTTTTTTTTTTTGTCTGTGCAAGACTTCCAGCTGGCACCAGATGAGTTTTCGCATTAGAGATGCCCAGAATCCGGGGAAGGATTCAGCAGGTTACGGAGCTGTGGGTGACATAGAGCTGGCCCAACCCAAGCACTCAGCATCCCAAGCATCCATGTCACTCCTCATTTATTGAGGTGCTTTTGCCCATCCTTACTTTGCACAAGGATTAGGACAGTGGTTTGTCATGGATTTCCCTCCTGGGGCTTGATTCAGCTCCTCCAACCTCTGGGAGCATCTCCACAGTGCCGAGAGCCCAAGGGGAGTGGGGAGAGCAGAGCCTGGTTCCCTGCCTCCCCGTTCCGAAAATACCTCCGGGAGCCACTGCCTCGCTGTTTCCTCTGCTCACTGGCTGCCTCCGGCAGCTCCTTGGCACCGCTGGGATGTGCATCCACAGCCATTCCCAGTGGGTTTTACTTCTGGCACAGAGCTCTTTGCTTAAAATAGGTAAGGAGATGGAGTGGTGGGATGCTGCCGCCAGAGGAGAGCAGCCTGGGCAGGAGGGACCCTGTGGTTCTGTGCAGAGTATACAAGCTAGGTGAAATCCCAACAGTATTGACCTGCAAGAATATTGTGATCAACCTTGTGAACCAGTTACCAACTAGAATATACTGTATACTATATGATAGACTTTTGTATAAAAAAAAAATTAAACAAATTAAAGATATAGGTACATTGTAATCCTTGGTGTGATTGAAAAAAGTGTCCTAGATTGTATTACTTAATTAAAACAATGATGAGCATATTGAACTGTTTTTTCGTATTTATGCCTTATAAACTTGATATATTACACATGATAAAATGAAACTGTAAGAATTATAAAAAAGATACACCATTTTGGGGGCAAATCCCGTTTGCTTTTCCTAAAACAAGAGTGCTGCTTGAAATGAGCTCAATAAATCATGTGTGCAGAAGAGCAAGGGCAGGATCTGTCCCCAAATGACTTTTTAGGATTTTTTTTTTTTTTTTAATGGGGCTTTGGTTAATGTACTATGTAATAATTTTATTTTATAAAGTTACTGTACAATGTTGCCTTTTGGTTCATTTAAATATAATCCTAAATAAACTTGAAAATGACAGCGTCCTAACTTTTAATGAAACAGTTATAATAATTTATTACTCCATTGCTTTTCCTCTTTTTTTTTTTTTTTTCCCGGGGACATCAAGATAGCCGTGGGATGTGAGTGTCTCAGTGTTAGATAACTAAGCAGCCTATCTAGTTCTTGGCAGAATTGTTAATGGATTTCTCACTTGTGAAATAATAAGATGGCAGAAGATAATGAAAAATGAATTTGTTGGGTTTGTTTTACAAGCTCCTCTGCATCACATTGTCTGGGCTTCTGGGAGATTAGCTCTTGACACTAACCATAATATTTCATTTCATAGGTTATTTCATGACTGAGTTTTGCCATATCAACTCTTTTAACATGGTCATGACTAATATTTTGGTATCTATTTCACTAACTTGTTTATGCAAGCACTGTTCCTTTTAAGTCACTACTATAGATAACTATTTATAGTCACCTATCAGCAACAGGCAATCAGTTTGCTTAGGATCTCTGTATGAATCTAATTTGCTGCTTTTGACTCGTTAATTGCAAAAACAGGTTGTCTTAAAATTCCAGGTGTTGAAACAAAGATAGAGCTGAGCCTGCCACTGGGGCTAATCCAGCATCAGAGGCTGCAAAAGGCAGCGCGGAAAGGGAGGACCTATATAAATAATGAACGATGACATGAAAACGTAGTAATGTAAGATCTTGATTTCCTCATCTGCATAAGCCCCTTTAATGCGTTGCTTTATCAGTTCTGGTCAGGGTGGGGAGTGCTGCGTGTGTTGCAGGGCTGGAGCTCCAGCTTTGGGTGCTCACGTGTGGTGAGTCAGGCTGCAAACCGTTGCAGGTCCCCTCGGGAGGGACTGTGATTTACAGTTTGGTGTTGGTTTCAGTTTTGGAGATGGTAGCGTGGATTTTCATCAGTTTGAGGTTTTTCTCTTGGATGCATCAAGTCCAGAAGGTTACAAGTAAAAGCGCCCTCTAGATTTTTATGTCACAGCATGAATCCAGGAGCAGGCACTGATAAAAACACTAAGTGTGACAGGCTCATGCCAAAATATCCGAAACACTCTGGCCCAGCATTCCTCAGCCAAGAAGCTGGATATGTAGAATATATAGACTTCATCTGGGTCATTGCTGTGCTGGAAGATGGGACAGCTGCCAGGTTTCTACAGTAGCTGCCGGATAGTGGCTGAGTCTCAAGGTAGAGGAAAGCTCCTCCATGCAGTGCTGTATCGGCGATCAAGATGCAGCCCCACAATCTCTGTGCTGCTTTGAATGCATCGCTCACAGCAATCAGTTATACTGGTTGAATAAATTCTTTATTTCGGATCTAGTTCTGATGAATGGCTCTGCCTGGTGCACAAAAGAGTCACAAGTGAAATATTGGATCTCAGGGCTGTATTCTGCCCTCTGAGGTGCTCCTGTGACCCCATCCCATTGCATCTGCACATGGAAGAGGAGAAAGGAGTCAGTAGCCTGCCCATGGCAGCATGGTCTATTGAAAGGTCAGTTGTGTTGGTGTGCACTTTGGAAAAAGGCAAGCACCTGTGGAAGGAGTTATGAAGATGAGGTCCTTTCTTTTATCTTATTTTTTCTTTGTTATCTCTTCAGGAAAGAGAGCTGTGTCTTGTAAAGTGCTGCTCTGCTATAGTTCTGCAGGAAGCTTGATCACTTTGGATGACTTCTGAGACCATGGACCACTTGATTTTTTTGCAGGCTGTTACGTTAATCTACAACATTCACTTAGAAACTGGAGCAAAATCTTCAAAAAAGGAAGAAGTGGACTGTCAGCAGCCAAACTCCTCCCATAAGTAAGTTTCATTTGGCTTTATATATTTTCTGCAATATAACACAAGCTACATATAGGAGAGCCATGAAGCTCTTCCAAAAGCAATGGTACATCTAATCCTTCCCAAGAACAATAGACTGAAATTTTCAAGGAAGGCCAGTTAATGGTTCTGGATGAGCCCAGTACAAGAAAGCAACTGTGCTTGGTACCACTGGGCATTGCTGGTCCTGGTGGGCCAGCAGTGGATGGGGGGAGGAGATGTGCAAAGCCACTGCCGGACCAGGGAAGTCATCCACATGGTTTAATACAGTACAGGGTTGAGGAAATGGTGGGTGTCTGGAGACATGGTTGCTGCTGAGGCCGGAGGCTTTTAGAAATGAAGAGCTTTGTGGCAACAATTATCCATCCCCAGGCCAGATTCTCCGTGCCCTCCTGCCCACTGGATCTGTGGATTTTGTGATATTCCTCTGAGGCACTAAGCAGGTCTCTGGACATACAGTGCAGGTGCAGATCTTGCCTCTTCTTAAAGTTAACCAGTTTTCCTTAGTAAATAGAGGGAATTTTCTGCCAGACATTGATGCTTTGGCCTCACTTAAAAAAATCCCCTGAGGTCTGAGATCTCCTTGTCCCACTGGGACAAGGGGTTGACAGCACTTAAGGAAATGTGACCCAGCCCTTTCTCTCACCCATCCACCAAGCATCATAGGACGACCCTGGAAATGGCAGGGTTATGAAGATGACTCCCATTTGCTTTTGTGTTGGCCTTTGTGGAAGTCACATTTCTAGGCCAGTGTCTGCAACCAGAGGGTTGAAAACTGTTTTCATTTATTAAGGACGAAAATAAATGGGTTAACTCCTCAGGCAAGAACATGCAGTTCTGATTGCTGATGCTTTAAGAAAAATGTCAAATCCGCAACAAAATTGCTCTGTTTTCTGTGCATGTTTTGAGCCTGTATATGCAGTATGCTGTCTGCACGTTGTCCCCCAGGACTTGGAGGGGCTCCAGCCCATGTCCACAGTGGTGGGTGTCCCTTCTGGAAGTGGGGAAAAGAGGGAATTACATACGGTAAACCAACCCTACCTGGGAGAAGGACTAGAGAAATGCTAATTATTCTCCCTGTCCCTGGAAACAATGGGGAGTCTGGTCCTTGTGGAAAGGCTTTGTTGTAAACTCTGCTTTAGTGATCTCTGCCTGTATTGAAAAATCCTCCTGATCTGCCATCCTGCCAGGCTGACACACTTACTGCTGTAAAAAAATCTGTGTTGTCCCGTGTGTTTTTCCCCAAGTAATGATGAGGGGAGAGGGGAGAACCGAGGAGGTTGAGTCATTTGTCTTCTTTCCTTGTCTTGGTAATGAAATATTGCTGTTGAACTTTACCCTGCCTTTCCTGTTACTAATTTTTTTTTTTTTTTTGCAATGGTTACCTTTTAAGAGGCTTGTAAAATTGCATTACTAAAATTTATGACTGTGTAGCAAATGTGTGCACATGCATTAATTCTGTTCAAGGCCAACGTCTTATAGCTGCAAAATTAATGTTATGGTGCAGTTTCTAGTATGGTTAATGGCTGTTCAATAAAGTAGGGCTCACGCTTTCCTCACCTTATGGTACTTAATTCCTTGAAGCAGCCCTGCCTTGAAGAGTTTGCCAGGTAATGGTTAAAAAAGGGCACGTGCACAACATACAGATATGTATTTTTATGCATTTTTGTTTATGCAGTTAGAGCCTCGAAAATCTTGGCCTTGTGAGTTGGCTCCGATGGGTTTCAGCTCCTTTGCATGGCATTTAGTTCAAAGGTTCAAAAGAAGATGTCTCTGAATTAAAAATGTTCCTCTTAACCATGACTCTGTTCTGGAGAGGCTGAACTAGATGTTCGTGTTACCCTGCAAATTATACTCTGCGTTTGGAAGTGAGTGAACAATAACAATTCGGTAAATGATAAATTAATTGACATTATCTACATTTAGACTTACATTCTCTTACTAGACCAAAGAAAAAGTAATTTTCTGCTAGAAGGGGGGATTAGTATGTGTAGCCTTTTTACCAATTGGAAGAGAGTTACTAAGCTTGTATTATTCCAGGTTGAAGACAGATGTAATAACATTAAGCAAATAACTGATGATGAGGGGTTGCTTGTATGCTGGTTGAAGACAAGAGGTTGGAGGAATATTTTCAGGGTGCCGAGACAGGAGTTTAGACAGTGTCTGACAGTGCTTGTCTTCTTCTTCAAAGCTTTGTCTGCCAGCCAGAAGAAAACTCAGTGCTCGTGATCTTGTACGATAGCCTGGTGTTTGGGACATGGTATATGCAAGATCACTGCTGTTAGAGGTAAAAACTTGACCACTTCGGACTCTAAAGTATGAAGTGTTGTACAGCTGAGATGTACTGGAGCTCCAGGGCAGGCAGTCTGCTGGTTAAGTCCAGGTGACACTACGCATGAGCCTACTGGTCCCACAAAGTCGGCTTCAACCACAATAGACCCCGGGCTTATGTCGAGTGGTATCTTGGCAAAGTGGTCAGTGATGGCAGTCCGCAAAGATCTAACGGAGGACAAAAATACCCATTTATGTATGAGAGCATCTGTGCTGTCTTATCCTCTAGGAGCAAGAGCCTTTTGGGGGGGGCAGTGATACTTTTTGCTCTGTGCTGGAAGACATGAGCTGACAAAAGTAGGACATCCCTGGGATGGAGAAACCAGTGCAGGGGGAAAGATAATCCCATGTGAAGGCTCTCAAGGCAGTACCGTATGTCTTCCATGTTTTGGGACTAGTTGCTTGATGTCCATGGGCTTTAGTTTCATGCCAGTTATTCACCGTGTCTCTCTTCTTCACGCTTTTTCTTGGAACAGAGCTTTGCCCTTGCCATGTGGTTGTGAGGTGCCCGGGAAAAGAGAGGCCAGACACAAGCAGAGATATCTTGGGAGCATCATCTTGATTCTTATAATGGCATTACCAGTATCATAAAGCGTTACAGCCAGATCAGTCATCAAATTTGTAACTCTGATGGTAGTCACCAGTACAACGCCTGGGAGGTGTTTGGCTCAGCTTGTCAAAGTGTTTTGGTGCTGTGAGAATGATGAACGTCCCCTGGAAAGGTTTTTGTGGAGGATAAGAGGAGAGAGAAAAACAGGGGAAGCATGATGCTCTGCTGGGATCGCAGTGTGGAGAGAGCAGGATTAGTGCTGTGGTGGATGGGCAGACAGCGAGCATCTGCTCTGGGCCACCAGGATCAGAGCACAGCAGGAATGAAAAATTCTTGGACCAGTTATCAAGGAATTGGGTAACTCCAGGATACTGTACTCATGGGGGATTTTTACTACCCAGACATCTGCTGGGTAACAAATGCAGCTAATCATGGCAATAATGTACAACCCTAATTCACTATAAATTCTCTCCCATATGTTTAGAATTGTATTTACTGTAGGAAGTGAGGGATAGTTATTAGTGAATCAAGGTGAACCAAGTGGCTGGTGCAGAGTCAGCCATATATTGTGAAAAATAACATATGACAGACTTGAACAGAATCCCTCTGAAAGCATGGCTGCATTTCAGGTATTTTAAGGGAAAATGTTGCTGTAATTACCGACTGCTTTTGAATGCACCAGTTGAACACCTCCTTTCTTGGTAACCTTTGTTGACCTTGAAGCACGAGTTCACGAGCAGAATTGATGAAGAATTATCTGCCAGATGAAATACGCCTCCTCGAATTCAATTCTGCTGATGAGGGGGTTGAAAAGGGTTAAGAAAAAAAAATAAGAAAGGAACCGTGATAATGGCTGCTTAGCTCACTGGTAGTACATGAAAGGATGTTGTTTTATTGATATACTTCTATGGCCTTTCTTCAGTTGCAGGCAATAATTTTGCCATCTAACTCACCATGGACCCAGAAGAGCGCTGTGAGCTCAAATATATCTAATATTGAGGCGGGAAGGAGTTGTCCCAGCTGCCGGAGTTCAGGGCTGAGCACAGTTAGTTACTGATGAATTATGGTGCCTTTTCCTGCAGTTCAGCAAATCCCTGCTCCCTGGCTGTGCTTGCCCCTGCGCTGCCTCGTCCTCGGCATGGGTTTATTTTGGTAAGGATGCCGTATGCTGAGCTGTGGCTTCAGCCACTCAGGGCCCAGGGATTTGCATAATGGCATTACTGCTTATTCCTCAGTTGCAATCTTTGAATATGCAAATCGGTTGATGCTGGTTACTGTGATTCTCCTGCCCTCACTGGTCCCCAGCTGGGGAAGTCTTTGAGCCATTTGCTGGCAACAAGGGTTTTCCTGTTGGCTTCTCATTTCCAGCTGTGGGTGAAGGCGAAAACCCCTTGATCAGCTACCTGAAATAGAGGGAGTACAAACGGCAAAGAGAGAGGGCTGTGAAATTCAGAAAAGGGGAACATCTTTTTTAAAAGAGCTTGAATGCCTTTTCCCCCGTTATTTTCCTTGCAGCAGCCCATGTTCACGCCGCTGGTGAGAGGCAGGGTAGGTCATCTTGCTCCATCCCACCCACTGCAGCAGGGTTTTGTCCTTGCAGTAGCTTCCCCCCATTTCTGTCTGCCCTGGCTGCTTCCCGCTTGAAATCTGGTTTCAAAGCGAAAGAGCTGAGGTAACAACCAACAGTTTTGAAGAAAACTGTCAGTCCGCTGCTCTTGGTGGTCTGCTGGCTCCGGTGGAGTCGGGCCAGTGTAAGGCAGGAGACCAGTTCAGCAGAGGACTTGCTTGGGTGGAGGGATGGGGAAACCTCCGCTCACAGCACCTAAGCGTGGAGGGCCTGGGGTTACCTGTCCCAGCATGGTTGTTACTTTGGACAAAAGCAGGTTTGGTGAATTGCAGGGTATTTCAACATGGCCTGAGTATATACATGTCTAGAGCAGGAGCTCTTATTAAAACATGAATCGATTAACCTTTCCCACTTCTGTTTTTCTAATTGTATTTTTGGTATTACTTATTTTTCCCCTGTATGTTTCCAAATAAGTATGGGGGAGGGAGAGAGAGAGAAACTGCTTTATTTTCTGGAAGAAATAGGTAAAACAGGAAAATCAATGTCTTTTCAATGGCAAGGGTGAAATCCTGGTGCCATTGAAGTCCAACTTCCCAGGACTTCTGAGGAGGCAGCATTTCACCCAAAACGCCCTGCAGGGCACCGGCAGTCTGTGTCGTGGGGATGAGCATCCAGCAGGCAGAGACTGTCCTTGGATCCACCTGCCAGCCATCGTACTATTTCCTTACAGCTTTGGCCCTCTCTGCTAACACTGCGTGTTTTTATGGCACCGATGGTAGCTCATATTATTCTTCCCTCAGCCATGGGCCTGCTAACTCCATCTGTACCTGCAGCATTTGTTGAGAAAACCAGTTATTTTGCGTCTAAGAATGTCACTGCAGTGTAAGTCAAAATGTCCAGGGAGTGGGGTATCTAGATGGATTTGCAAGGAACACTTTTGCCTATGCAGGGGAACATGTCCCATGCCATTATAACTTAATGGATATGATTTATTTCAGGAAAAAAAAAAAAAAGAAGAAGAAAACCCAGACAAATGTAGAACCAATGATTTACGGGAAACAACACTGATTGGAATATAAATACAGACAAGCAGCATATTTATTGCTGATGGTGCTATGTTCCCTGGGATAATAGAGCCATTTTGTAACTATTTGTCTGCATCTTGAGCTTGCATTTTGTCTCGAAATTTTTCATTTCTAATGAGGTTTCCTATCCTGAATATTTTTCTCAGATCAACAAAAAAATGGTTTGACATCCATTTGTAAAAGACTTCATTGTAATGTATCTTTTTTTAGGTGAATTTTAATCATGGAAGGGAAAGAACATCCTTGGAATTGAAGAGCTACGTTCTGGGTACATAAAGGACAGAATTGTATGTATTATTTTATCATCATGTATCTTTTAATCTGGAAGAATTTGTCTACAAACCTTTAGGAATAAGAGAGTGCCTGGTTTTATTCAGTATTTTGCTGGGAAGAGATGAGTTTATTATGTTGGTATTTGCAGGAAGCTAATGTGATATTGCCAGGACTCTTCAAGCAGCTAAAGATCCAAGGCTGCAGGAACCAATTCTTTATATTTCAGAAATGGTGCAGATTAAAATTGAAATATAACCATTCAGACACACTGACAAGAAGGCACATTTTTGTGCTGTGGAGCAGCATGCCAATGTAGAAACAAGAACTAGTCCACGAGGAAAAGACAGGACTTGATAGATGTCACTTCATGGCCAAAGTGTCCCAAGTCTTGTCGTGTCTCAGCCTCCTTGTACTCAAAAATAGTAGTCACTGTGAGACTTGAACTGCACTGAGACATTTCCATACACATTGTCAGTCTATGAATCTGTTCGGCCTTCCTGTCTGATTTTTGTTTTATTCAAGTTTTCCCCAAAAACAGTGGATTAACTTTTCTGCTCCTACCAGTTTGCCGTAGGTTGTAAGTGGTAGAAGTGAATAAAATTCTTCAAGAATAAGTTCTGCTGCAATGATCCATTTTACTTAAATATGTGATCAAACGAAAATGCAGCTTCTGAACACTTTAGAACAAGAGCAAAATCTGGCAACGTGTTAGATGCCCTCAATGGCTGTAGTCTTACTGGGGACTTTGATCACAGCTTCCTTCATCTCTTTTCATGCTGCTTACAAAGTTACTCTGTGTAAAAATGTAGTGTCTGATTTACTTTAACCCAGCAAGGACAAATTAATTCTGAAGCAGGAGATGGCCAGTCTCTGGGCCCGAGTTGTATGTAGATCTGGAATGATTTTGGAGCAGTTGCTGTGGAGAGGATGTGCCAAGTGACTGACAGCAGGGCCACACCAGAGAACATCGTTGTGCTCGTTACTGATTATAATGAAGTGGAAAGGTAACCTTCTGCAGTCAGGTTTCGTTATTTCAGAATTGGAGATGAACTTTCCCCAAAATTGTAATTTGGGGGGAAAGTTCATCTCCAATTCTGAAATAATTTTTCAGAATTGGGGATGAACTTCCCCCAAAAGTGTAATGGGTACCTCTGCACTAACTCTCCCACCAACCCTGTCTGCATACTTACATTTTGAGCCATCTGAAAGCTCTTACAGGCCAGGAGTGGTACCCTGAAGCAGAACAGTCTTCTCCAGGGGAGCTGTGGTGGTTACTGAAGGAATTCAGCCTTTATTTAGTCTATAAGAGATGGTTCCCACCACTGCTGAACTGCAGGCACTGCTCAGTTTCTGTTCCGTGACTGCCACGTTACACTGCAGCATTTCAGGAGGAAAAGTGGAGAATGACTTTTCCATTTGAAGCCATATGAAAGGATTCAGCCAGACAGCATGTAATTACCCTAGCTGGAGCCAGGCCAAGGGAGAGGATCTGTGGCTCCCCATCTGCGGGCTTATTTTCAGCACTTCAAATGAGAGATTGCATGGAACATGTCAAAATGAATGAAACAAACTTAGTTTCAGTCCGGACATCTCCTCCATCATGCCCACATCAGACGCAAATAACTCACCAACGTGGTGTCCCCTGGACTGCCCTTCAAAGTCTCAGTTTACAAGCCCAAATGAAAGAGCAGCTGGAGGCAAAGAGCCTTTCCCATTCATTCAGGTGAGTTGCGAAGTGGGTAATGAAAATGCTATTGTTTTCCAACACGGGCAGGATAGGTTATTCAGGCAAATAAATTCTGCCCGTGACTCTTTCTCTTACAATAGAAACAGTGGCCCTAATCCAGTAAAGCACTTTAGTGTGTGCTGAAGTGGAAATTTGTGAGCGGCCCTGCTGATTTCAAGGGATCAGCTCTCGTGCTTAAAGTTAAATATGAGGAGTGGGAGCTGGCAGGTGGGTGGATGAGCGGTGTGATTGCCCAGGGGCCCTGCCTTATTATCTATGATTATATGGGTTTAGTATTTGGCTGGATCTGGGCCCGTTTGAACAAAGAAGCGGGATTAGCAGGCGTGCAAATAGGGAGCAAAGCCAAAGGGTTCCAGCAGTGTTGAACACAACTTTGTTACTCAGACGGAATGTATAAAAGTGAATGAAAAGGCTGTATGATTGCTGTTGCCATCCTGTTAATTAGGCTGAACTCATGCTTCATTAGTGCTACAATATGCTTCCATCTTAACAAAGCCCTATTGGGTGTATGGAGCCACTTTACTATTAGTAAAATGCAGCCTTATCAGAAAGCCCTGTAATTCATTTCGTAAGACAAGTCATGACATATATTATGTTGAAATTGCACTGAAGAGACAGATTACTTGCTTAACACTTGCTTTTCCTAATGAACAGGAAAAGATGTTTTCAAAACTAAGTTATTTATTGTGTTGGGAGCTCTTCTGACCTCGTGCCTAATTACAATGCGTAGTCCTTTAGCGGTGTTTCTAAAGTAGTTTCTAAATAACGCAAATTGAACCGAGCAGCTTTTGCTCTTGCCCATTCTCTCAGTGGCATTGTGAAAATACTGTCAAGCATTAAAAACCCTGTTTCTTGCTGTCATTGTGGGGAAGAGAGTTTTGCATATAATCAGTACAATATCCCTGCAGCAGGAATGCAGCAGAAGTACTAGCACAACCCACATTCCCTGCTCGCAGTACTGATTATAAAGCAGTACTGATTAAGCAGCAGAGTGAAAACTTGACACAGAAGCAAGAAATTACATGTACTGGCTCGTTCACTGCCCCCAAGTAAACACTGTGCTCCCCTGACACTGCTGCATCGTGGACAGAAGTGTTGTTTGTATTAGTGTTATGATAGATGCTGACCTGGCAGTGATTTTTCTGTGGACTCACTGTGCTGGAAAGGGAGTTTGAATGACCTCAGAGCACAGGTCCGCATTAGCCTGAACAGGAGAGCTGATTTAAGTCAGTCCTGCCCTACCAGACATCCCCACTTTCTTAGCAAGCTTCATGGTTTTCTGTGGCTGCCAGCGAAACCAGATTTCTGCAGATTAGAATACGTTAGGACTAACGCAAAAAAAAAAAAATAAAAAAAATCCCAGAGCGTTTTTGCTGACCCTGATTGTTTGACCCATCTATCTCGGGTAGCATGCTGTGCTGGTTTTGGCTCGAATAGAGTTAGTTTTCTTTATAGTAGCTGGTATGGGGCTAAATTTTGGATTTGTGCTGGAAACAGTGTTGATAATACGAGGATGTTTTAGTTATTGATAAGCAGTGCTTACACAGAGCCAGTGAGCAGGCTGGGGGTGCACAAGGAGTTGGGAGGGGACACGGCAGGGACAGCTGACCAAAGGAATATTCCACACCATATGGCATCCTGCTCAGCATATACACCTGAGGGAAGGAGAAGCAAGGGAGGGCTGTTCAGAGTGATGGTGTTTGTCTTCCCAAGTAATCGTTACGTGTGATGGAGCCCTGCTTCCCTGGAGGTGGCTGAACACCTGCCTGCTGATGGGAAATAGTGAATGAATTCCTTGGTTTGCTTTGCTTGCATGCAGGGTTTTTTCTTTGCCTATTGAACTGTCTCTAGCTCGACCTGCAAGTTTTTTCACTTTTACCCTTCCACTTCTCTCTCCTATCCCACCAGGGGGGAGTGAGCAAGCGGCTGCCTGGGGCTTAGTTGCCAGCTGGGGTTAAAGCCCGACACATACAGCGAGTCTCCGCAGGGTGGTCGGCACTGCGGGAGTAATTGGTCGTGGGTGGGGAGAGAAAGAGCAAATGGGTGAGAAAGTGGATGTAGGAAGGAGTGACTTCAACAGATCTACCACTGAGGGTACAAAGGTTAGTGTGTTCACAAAGGTATGAATTTGGGGCAGAATAATTTCCCAACCTGTGTAACTAATTGTTAGGGGTGTGGGGGCAGGTTGTGTTTTGTGCTCCGGTGATGGTCTCACACAATGGCTTTCTCTTCTACAGGCTGAAGTCAAATGGCAAATGTTGGCTTCATTTCAGCACAGCAGGACGAATACCATGGTGCTCCACCACCTTCCCCAGAAGGGTCTCGTTTGATGGATCCCTTCTGGAGCCCCCAGTGGCAGCAACACTCTGCTGCAGCCAAAAGCAGCCGTGTCCGGCGGAGTGGATCACGCGTGGTTGAGTTAGATTCAACTCCATCCTAGATCTCAGCTCTTCCTACCTGAATGATCTGGATTTGCTATTACTGGTGGTAAGATCAGGGAAGGGAGATGTGTACCAACATCTTTTAATTTTCGTGTTTTCTCCTAGCACCATTCTTTTGCCTCACTGTAAACATCTATGCTTACTCATGTCTTCCTACAGTAGACATAAAAATATCTCCCTCCCTCCATATCCAACAGTACATCTTGCAGCCCTGAAATGACCCTATATGAGAGGGTCATAACAGCACAGTCTAATGGAGAAGAAAAATGGCAATGAGGTAATGTAGCAAAAACAACTCTGCACTGCTCACCAATTCTGTTTGCTCTTGCAACTCAGGCTACTTGTATTGTCATCCAGCTGCAGGGCTGAAGGGCATTTATTGGTGCAACCCTGTGACATCCATGGATTTTGTCCCAGGGTGTCTGCAGTCACAAGTGAGTGCTGTGGATGATGGGCGCAGTCTCATGTTTGCGTGCCAGCTGCTGCGCGATTGCACATCCCCAGTAAAATCAGCACCGCCCCTGCGAGCCCAGGGGAAACGCACTCGTTCACACCAAATCAAATTTGCCCCAGCGCTCTGAAATGAGCACCGTGATGTGAAATTTATAACAATAACAATTGGGAACCAGAGGTGGTTTCACAGAAGGACTTTTATTTACTGCTTAAATAAAAATACCTTATTCTTACAGGCACGGAAAATGCTGCACTACGGTAAATTTGGGAAGATGTTGCAAGATTTTGTTCCAAGATGGAATAATGCCTTTCTTGGTGCCTTAGGGCCACCATCACCATGAGCCACAGCTGCTGGTTTTCATAAGGTTAGTTTGAACCGAGGTCAGATCCCTTGCTCCTCTTTGCCACGCAGCTGTAGAGATGCTTGAGCTGAAACGAACTGATGGGACAGGATGAAGCAGTGCAG